GCGATTTGGGTGCAATTGATGGTGAGTACATATTTTACTTTTATATTATTGTATATTTCAATGTCTCTTTTGTTGTTGCAAGTGAGTGAATTCTGTGCTAAACCTAGAATCTGGGTGCTAAGCATTTTCATGTACAGTATCTATCTATCATGAAAGCAAGGGAAACATATGAAGTAACTTCCTTTAAATTGATTTCTGACTCTTCAGTGATTCTAGTCTTTGAATAATAAAGTGGTTCCTGCTATCAAATGGAATTCTTTTTGTTATCCTCTTTTTCTTTGGCAATGGTTAAGTATTCTATTGGTGATTTGAGTAATGCTTGAAACATTTGCACTGTTATTCTGGTCTGGCAAAAGTGTACACTTCTGTGGCAATGTTTTGTTTTGCCGTACATATCTTAATCTGTTTGCGAAATGTTTTTGCAGCAAAATATGATGTTGCAATATCAACAGCATGTCCTGGACTTGATTATATTGTGGTTGAAACAACTGCAGCAGCGCAAGCTTGTGTCGAGCTCCTTCGGCGCCAAAACCTTGGTGTTGCAACCTTCATGATTTTGGTAGATTCTTGGTCTTAAACTAAGTGGTTTGCGCATGCAGTGTCCAAGCTTTTTGTGTTAATGATTTTTTCAGAACAGTTGTATTGAGTAGCCACGTGAGTGTCCTAATTGGCTTAATCTGTGCTGGTTTTATACTTGCTTGCATTGTGGTGATTATTATAGTTCTAGGTGTTCCCTAGGGCCTGCTTCTTTGATGACGTTTTTGCTTTATTGTTGCTGTTGACACTGGAGATGCTGAATTTTTATGTACCAAGCGATCCGGTTATTCAACAATCCATTTCATTATCAGGCAATACCATCTATATGTGAAAATGGACAACTGGCAACAGTTATTGCATCACTTTACGGTTAAAGAAAATAAAACATCACTTATGGGTACTGCCACTCATGACTTTGTGACAAGTTTGACATGTACAAAGCTTTAGTGGGCTATACTAACTGTGAAGATATGTATTTAATGTCTTTTAGTTGTCTAATATTTGTCCCACTTGTTTTGCAGGAGAAACAAGCCAACTTTTTGCCAAGACTGAAGGAGAAAGTTAGCACACCTGAAGGAGTTCCCCGACTGTTCGATTTGATTACGGTTCAGGATGAAAGAATGAAACTTGCCTTTTTTGCTGCACTAAGGAATACTGTTGTTGCGAAAGATATTGATCAGGTTGATCATTACGTGTTCTGCAGGATATTTTCTTCTCTCAGTAGTTTGTAGGAACAGAATGTTCTGCCACTACCTCAGATTATCCATCTTTAGAGAAGCTTGCAGAGGTTCTGAATGTTGAAATAATATTGCTACAAAAGTTCTGCAGAATGCAGGGAAATCTAAATCGACGTGGAGAAAGGCTATTCATACTTTTGTGAAGTGTTAATTTTCTTTTTTCCAGTACAACAAAGTTTGGTCAGGAGAACGGAAAGCAAATACTTTTTATTGTTGTCGTAACTTCTTGCATAAGCCTTGATCTTGGTGAAATACTGTCATTTCATGTGATTTTACAAGAAAAACAAATATATTATCATGCATTCTTCTCTGATTATGTAGGCAACACGCATAGCGTATGGTCGAAACAAAGAGTTCAGGCGTGTTGTAACTCTTGATGGTGCTCTCTTTGAAAAATCTGGTACAATGAGTGGTGGGGGAAGTAAACCCCGTGGAGGCAAGATGGGTACAGCTATACGAGCTACTAGTGTCTCTGCAGAAGTTATTGCAGATGCTGAAAAGGAGCTCTCTATGCATGTAGAAGGTTTAAATCATCTACGCCAAACAATTGTGGATGCTGCAAAGCATTACCTGGCTTCAGAGAAATCAGTTTCACATTTGGAGATTGAACTAGCAAAGAGTCAACAGGAGGTTCTGTCCAATTTGTTCATGTGCCATGACTGTTCCCATGTTGTGCTTGATTATCAGTTTAATGAAAATCAATTTTGTCTCAGGTTGACAGTTTAAAGTCACAGCTTAGTGATCTAGAAAAGCAACTCGAGTCTCTAAAGTTCGCTTCTTTTCCCCGAAAAGATGAGGTTGATAGACTTGGAGAATTGAAGAAAATAATATCTGCTGAAGAAAAGGAAATAGATAGACTTACACAAGGTTCAAAGAAGTTAAAGGAGAAGGTATGTGATTCTGCAGTCTTGACTGGTCAGGCATCTTCACCAATTTAGTTCCTTTCTTTTGATTTTTCTTGCAACATTTAGTTTTAACTATCTTTATTCGACTAATTAGGCTATGGAGCTTCAGAAAAAGATTGAGAATGCAGGCGGTGAAAGGTTGAAAATTCAAAAGTCAAAAGTTGATCGAATTCAGTCTGTAAGCTCTTGAAATAACCAAAACAGATGTAAGGTTCTGTTAATACGCTTCATAGTTACTGAAGCTACTTATTTGGCAGGACATAAACAAAAACAGGACAGAGATCAATCGCCGCAAAGTTCAAATCGAAACAGGTGAGAAAACAATAAAGAAACTGAGCAAGGGGATTGAAGAATCAGAGAAGGAGAAAGAACGGCTTAATGGACAGAAAGAATCATTGAAAACAACCTTCAAAGAGATTGAGCAGAAGGCATTTATTGTTCAGGAGAATTATAACAAGACACAGAAGGTTAAGCTTAATCTAACAATTTTTTCATTGGAAAGTGTTTAGCTCATGGTTGTTATGCTTGTTTGTTGTTTTTCTCTTTTCTGGCATTAGTTCTAATGAACAAAGACTTGCTTTCAATAAATTGGAGAAATTTTCCTGTCCTGATATTGCAGCTAATTGATCAGCACAAAGATGTGCTGGACAAAGCCAAATCTGACTATGAAAAGCTGAAGAAAACTGTGGATGAGTTGCGGGCCTCAGAGGTTCTGTTATGCTGGCCTCTTTTTTGACTTTCACTCTCTAATCTCTCTTGTGCATGACAATGTAAATACCATTTAGTGATGCAGGTTGATGCTGAGTACAAGCTTCAAGACATGAAGAAGATTTACAAAGAGCTGGAAATGAAGGGGAAAGGATACAAGAAAAGGCTAGATGATCTGCATATTTCTCTCACCAAGCACATGGAGCAGTAAGCTATTGAATCTCTCAACGAATTATTAACCCCCCCTGTCCTCATGATATATATGGATGAAAGTTTGTCTTTTATGTCCATTACACATTTTTCTCTTCTTTTTCTTAGAATTCAGAAAGATTTGGTGGACCCAGAAAAGCTCCAAGCAACACTGACAGATGAAGTTCTTGGAGAGACTGGTGACCTTAATCGAGCTCTTGAGATGGTGGCCCTCCTTGAAGCTCAACTGAAAGAGATGAATCCAAATCTTGATTCGATTTCCGAGTATCACTCTTCGTCAATTTTATGAAGTAGGAATTTAAAATGTATTTCCTTAACTTCTGTGCTGAATAATTTCCACTCTGTCAGGTATCGGCATAAAACATCTTTGTACAACCAAAGAGTTGAAGATCTTAGTCAAGTTACACAACAGCGTGATGAGAAAAGGAAGCAATACGATGAATGGAGAAAGAGAAGGTAGGCTTTTGGTTCTTCTAATGAAGTATCTGTTTGCTTCAATCATGACAACTATATGTAGTTGTACATTTCAGGTTGGATGAGTTCATGGCAGGTTTCAACATAATATCATTGAAGCTAAAAGAAATGTATCAGGTCTGTTCAAGGAGTAGTTCGCAATCTCATTCGCTTTGTGTGCCCCATCTCCAAGCTTAGCTTTGTCTGTTGGATATTTGTGCTAGTTATCCAGAAGGCTGAATTACCAATACAACAATTTGGACTTTGTGAAATTTGCCTGAGCATAATAATAGGCACTGCTACCGATGATGAAATACCATATAGGATTGATAAATTAGTTGGTGGGCAACTGGCTACCTGTGATTGTTCTCAAACTGTTTTCAGCATTTCTTTGAACTACACTGCTGCTAGCAGTTTTCATTCATTGATGAAGGTCATTTTTTATTTTATTGCAGATGATTACTCTTGGAGGTGATGCAGAACTTGAGTTAGTGGACTCTTTGGATCCTTTTTCTGAGGGTGTTGTTTTCAGTGTCAGACCACCTAAAAAGAGCTGGAAAAACATTGCAAACTTGTCTGGAGGTGAAAAGGTATTTGGTTAGTTTTAAACCTTCATTGTTCTTCTGGCCTTTATTACATGGTATCCAACTAAGTCGATGGTTCTTTAAAAACTTATGTTTGGAGTCTAATCTTGTGAGTTGACTCTTAATTTCAGACTCTCAGCTCTTTAGCTCTTGTTTTTGCACTTCACCATTATAAACCCACTCCATTATATGTGATGGATGAGATTGATGCAGCTTTGGGTACGTTACGTGCCTATTACTGATGTTGCCTGGATTTTTTTTAATTTCAATTTGACCCACAATTTGTCATCTTTTCCATGTTTTTGATTTCTTATTTCTTTATTTGTTGAATAGATTTTAAGAATGTTTCAATTGTGGGGCACTATGTGAAAGACCGTACCAAGGATGCACAATTCGTAATTATCAGGTACATTTGAAGGGGTCATATATCATCCTTTTTACATGCGTGAGTTGTTTCAAACTTTCTGTTCTGTGCAACAATGCAGCCTCAGAAACAACATGTTTGAGCTGGCTGATCGACTTGTTGGGATCTACAAAACTGACAATTGCACCAAAAGTATCACTATCAACCCGGGAAGTTTTGTGGTGTGCGGAAAGGCTGCTTGAGGCTTTTGCTTTACATGTTGAATTTATCAATGTTGTTAACTCTCATGTCTCACTTGCCTTCTCTTGGCCAAGGTCGGACTGCATTGTGAGCTTGTAAGTTTGAATTATGTATTTATTGGCCAACATGTTTTAAATTATTGGTTTTGCCTTTCTTTAAAGCTTGTTAAAATCATCGGAAAAAGAGAAATGAAATGGAAAAAGTTGAAGCATGATAGCTGTCTTTGCGGTGGCATTTTGAGTTTAGCTGGGTTGTCCGGAGCTTACAGTACAGCCTCAAGTTCTGTCACTTGTTTATCATTTATTGTTTACTTAAATAGCCCCTTTACATATCAATTCAATTTGCAAGATACAAAAGTGTAATGCGCAACAGCCATACAAAGAAATTGTAGATTATCGGGGATTGTTGAGGTGTAAAGTTAGAGTGAGTTGAGCGGGTCTTCATCTGCAATGCTTTCCTGATTGCTCCTCATTCGCCGGAGCTGAAATGAAAGCGAATTTGATATTGCGTGAACTGGCTTGTCCGTCACCCGAATGAAATTGTAGGACCATGCTCCAAGCAATGTTCCACATACAGGTCCAACAACGTACACCCAAATCCCCTCGTAGTAATCGCTTGCTATTGCTGGACCAATACTCCTTGCTGGGTTCATGGATCCTCCCGAGATTGGCCTATCGGAAACAAGGAAAGACAACATCGTAAGTATAAGCTCGGTTGTCATTCTACTTTCTTGGTGGAAGAAAGGAAGTTTTGGCTGCTGCGTATGAGCGGATACCAAGGCAAAGTTTACTTACCCAGCCAAAATGGAAGAAATGCAGACGGCGGAACCAACCGCAATACCTGCGAGCTCCCCTATCTGCATGAATCCAAGTGTGACAAGTATTACCGTGCAGTAGTGCTAATTGATCTGTTTAGACGGATATTAGTGCTCTTACTGCTTTGGTATCAGTTGCCACTGCAGAGGTGACGAACATCATAGAGAACGTCACAACTATTTCCATTACCAGAGCTTGAATGGTTGTTCCGGGAGGGGATGTAGTTCCAACATGTTCAATTGGGTGGAGCAATACGTGGAGTGTGAATCCAGCTGAAATTGCTCCTGTTAGCTGGGCTCCTGCATAAAACGGTACCTGTTGTAAATCCAAGTCCAGCGCTTTAGTTGTGTAGCACTTGCATGTCAAAGACTGATAATTACACATGTAGGAACCATAACCTAACTCACATTTGAAGACTCATTTAGAATTACCTTTCTTTTTTTTTTTTTTTTTTCCAATGAAGAGCCCCTAAGAATACTTTGTACCACTTAATTTCCTCAACGTTTTAACAAGATAAACAATTGATGATCTTTCCCACGAAACGTTGCTGTGAGGCCACTAGTTCCTTTTGGCGCTCACATTGATGACAGGATTCAAAGTATTAATACCAGGGCCACGCCTCCAATAATTACAGGAACCCAAGACGAGCGGAGAACGAGACTACAGGTTGTGTGGTTCCACTCTCATTTTTAATGAAATTTCAGAAGGACCCACAAATTTTGGATCCCACAAAAATGAAAAGCAAACAGAGAAATTAAATAAAGATATTGACGAATCCAATCGGCATTTTGTAATTATCTGGAAGCTGCTAGGCAGCACTCTGTTTTTCTTTTTTCTTTTAACCATTGTTAAAAAGCTTCTTAGGAGATTATTATCTCTACCCAAACAAACTTTAGGTTGTAACCAGACAAGAGGATTCTACATCCAGTCAACCACTGAAACCAACCTGTATGGGAAAGAGTTTGACTTAAAATGGTCGTTTCCTTGTACAAAAAGACAAAAATGTTCTGCTTCCGGAATTAAAGAGGGCAAAATATAAGACTACTTCGACGTATCTCTATTGTCTGAGTTTCTTCAAGCCAATGAGGAAATGTCTTGATTGAGTTTTAAAATTGAAAAATTTTGTGGGTTTTGTATACCAATCACCAAGCACATCCCAGGGCATATGATATGATAGACCTAGTTGGTAGTTACGAAGTAGAATAAATTCATGGAGAATATTCTTGATTTTTTATACAGCTGTGGACGCTCAAGTACAACAAATTGTGACGTCTTGATTCTCAAACCAAGCACTCATAGAATGATTATTCAGAAATGATTATTATTCATTTTACCCCAAAAAAAAAAATTAAAGATTGATTATTCAGAAAAATATTCCCTGTTCTCTTATTTTATTTTAAATTTTTTAATGCAGATGTCGCTGTTTTTGTAACTTAGGGTTCGTAAAGCCAAAGAAAAAATTTGTGATGATCAAGCAACTCAAATAGACGAGCTCTGCCACTATCAAAAAGCGAAAAAAAAAAAGAAAAAAGAGAAAGAGAGAGCAAAAGATCAATTGAGCGATTGCCCCTACCAACGGTAACTTGCAAGAGCGGTGAAATTGGAAGATGGAAGAAGATGCAATAAAATACTACTAGTAGAAGAGAAAAGAAGAGCAGAGAGTTAGATAGGGGGCTCACCTGCTTCCATGGGAAGTGTCGGACAGCAGCAAAAGCCAAGGTGACAGCAGGGTTCATGTGGGCACCGGAGATATGTCCAACTGCATAGATCATAACGGTGACGATGAGTCCCCCGGCCACCGACGCTCCCAGCTTCGAGACTTTGTGTTCGTCGCTCGCGCTTAGAGCCGCCGAACCGCATGTCACGAATACCAACAGATACGTCGCTATTATCTCCGCTGTAGCCTACACTACACTAACCTCCCACATCTCAGTCATTCATCACAAAACTCACAATTCACAAACTTGGCCAGAATTGATAATCACTATGAATTTTTGTTTTTGTTTTTTTTAAATTATGATTCCAAAATCTGATGTTTGATTTGAGTCAAGGTAGAAAACTCAAGCAAGCAACCACCGGAAACCCTACGCTGGACAATAAATAAGGAACATTGCATGCATGCGGGTACGAAGTACAAATTTTAAATCTAAGCTGAATCATGCTTTGTAAAGGTCCATTAGGTGAATGGTTATCGAATATGAATGCTTGTAAACTCGAATAAAAGGTAAATATTAAACGGATTAGATGCCCTTTTTTTTTTTTTGGTTGGCATCTCACTCGCATATTATAGGCTTAAAGTGTATACTACCTTCCTGATAAATCCAGGCGGACAACATTCTCCATACAGTCTCCCAAGGTTACTACTCAAAGGCATCTGCGATATCTGCTGTCTTTCGGTTGAAACCGATCCATGTCCCTCTTTTCTGGAAGAAGCATTGACCTTTGCCTGCCCATTCTCCATGAATCTCTGAATATATGGGGGGGCTGCAAATTAACCTGCCTCTTCAAATACAAGGAAAACCAATTGAGCTTCGTCAAGCTAGGGCGAAGAAGAGATTGACTCGCGCCTCCAAGTAAGTGTCTAATGTGGCGTACGGTTGATTTATATACACTTAGATACCATCTTCAACCTTTTCTATATATAACAAGACCAGGACTGCAATAATACCAAGCGGTGCCTTGGAGATTTTAACGTATGTTGAGTTAGGGGAAAAGCTTATTAGATGATCACATATCCTTTCCCAACCTCCACATCGGGAATAATGGACGACATGTCCCTCGTACATTTTTATTTGCCAATTTGGCTTCAGATTCCCTTGTCTGAATATGATGCTGTGTTTCCACTATTACCTAACTAGTACACTTCTCTTTCATATAATATGGTAACATGTGTGAGTGTTTTTTTTTTTTTTTCCCCTTGAAAAAGTAACACGTGTGTTTCAAACTTCCAGAAAACTAATAATATATGTTATCCGAGACAATAGAATCAGTGCGTGGTATAGTCAAATTGCCATAATATTATTGGGCACTACGATCCTCATCAAAGGACTTGATATGTTACGGGTTATATAGATCCAGAAACTTTTATTACGCGTACAACTCAAATCATAAACTACATATAGAGGTCTTTCCAATTTCCAATTGTATTTTTTTTTCACTGCTTTTGAGAATCTTATAACAAGAAAATCCATCCAAGTATTAATAATAAAGAATAGAAAGACGATAACTAAGGAAAATATCAAGTTAATAAGTCCCACTACCATTCTAGAAGGGATACAAAGTCGCCCACCGCCTTTTGAACGGTTATATCAAAAGAGAAACCTAACGTACACGCACCAGATGGGGGTCAAAAAACAAAAAAAAAAAAGAAAGAAAAGAATTCCGGTCGTCACTTTGTTGCATTGTACTGTTAAATCGAAAGTTAGGAGTACAGATTAATGCGGAGGAACAGATGGCCCAATCATTTTGAGTGTTTGCTGATGTCGGAAAGTGGCGGAAGGTTGTAGCAGCTTGGATTGGAAGTCCTTCATTACTAAATGGCAACGGCTATCTCGTCCCAACGTCGTCAAGGTTAAATGGCAAAGTTAGGGGGTGAACGAACATTCATGTTTTGATTTTGGAGCAAATTCCGTTGATTAATTCTTCCAAATGCGCCCGTCCTAATGATATAGAATTTACCTCAAGTATCAATAAACGCTGTTGCCATGGAGGGCATTGTCCTTGCGTTGCTTGATCTACACATATCGGTCCAATGATCAGGACGGCTCTTAGGTTCTTTTCGGCTTTCAGATTCGTAGTTCGAATTCTGCGCTTAATAGAAAGGGGTTTCGAATTCGGTTGTTGTCAGAAGCCCAACACTCAATCAATGCGGGGTGGTTAAGTGGATCTGCTGAATGTGTTTTATGTCATGGTGAGGAGGAAACTATGGACCATCTGTTTTTCATGTGCCCCGTGTCCGCAGCAATATGGGCTAAAGTACATGCATTGTGCCCTGTAAACAGAGGATCATGCCCTGGTGCTTGGAAATAGAATGGCTAACTCAGCTTTAGAGCAGCAACTCTTTTATTGACAGAATTCAAAGGTTGGCCCAGGCCATAACGGTCTATCATGCATGGCGAGCAAGAAATCGGGTAATGTCTCAGCAAGTCCCTACCTCTCCCACTGGCATCATGAATAGTATTGCATGGCGTGTTAGTATTTCTTGGGTGAGGAGTTCCAAAATCAAGAGTTAGCTGGTGTTTAATCGTGGAATGGGGGATTACTCACAAGTTTTTTGATCATGAGTAGATAGGCTCTGGTTGTTCTTTAAAATTTGTATGGTACAGAGGTGATAATATGATGAATAGGCAGCTATCTGCTGCATTGGGTAAATTCCTTGCTCTATTCAATAAAAGCTTCACATTTGCTCCAAAAAAAAAAAAAAAAAAGGACTGCAAGACCAACAATTCCATGATGAAAACAGCTGAGCTAGGTTAAAGGAAAATCAAGATTCACCAACAAACAAACTATTGATTTAGATTATGGGCTCAGAACACCAGAGAGTTGAAGTACAGCTACAATAGCGGATGGTGTTGATTCCACTATTACTCTCCTATAGGATTTAAGTTTGTGGGTTAATTACACTTTGCTCCTTGAACTTGAGCCATATTGTAACCCTTTGCCCCCATACACTCTATACACTTTGCCCCTTGTTGCCAACTTTCGGACGGGGTAAGATGAAGTTCTAGTTTTCATGACCAAAATATCCATAGCTAATTCTCATACATACAATAATAACTATAACATAATAAACACCTATCTCTATAATAGTTGTTAAATGCATTTAAACATAATTATACTATGAAGTTTGCTCTTTTAGCACTAAAATGAATTAGATAATCTACAAAAAAAAAAAAGTCTTAACAACTCAATATGTTTATCTTAATGTCAATGGAAATACATATTTTAAATCAAATAACATTAATTAGTGCATTTAAAATGACAATTATTTGTTTATATTTTTTATTGTAGCACTTTTTAATGTATTTTATGTGAGATAAAAATATAATTAAAAAAATGTATTAAGAAGTTTACTTAGAGAATCTTTATTTTTTTAAAAAAAATATCGAATTCAAAGAAAATACAAAGCAAGGTATGAATACAACATAAAAATACCAAATAGCATCTTATTGACTCATCAAAAATTTGTGAAAGTTGCAAGGTAAACAAAAATTATTAAAACCAATTTGTTTACAATTTGAAGGAAGAAAGATAAACGCCGGAAAACTTGTGGAAAAGTTTGATGAAATTTCAAATTCTTTTTCTCTCCATAATACAAATTTTCAATTATTTGGTGTTATACCATCTTTTATTTTTTAAATTTTTTTTAGATATGTGACTTTGTATTTTTTCTAATGAGATGTTTTGTATTTCGATTAAAAGTATATCATTATTTTAGAACCATTATGCATGCACACGCTAATGTCATTCTGTTAAAATTTTGGATGGAGAATTCATCACTAATATTTGACTAGTCAATGAAGGGAGCGAAGTGTATATATTTAAAGTTTATGGGAGCAAAGTGTTATAAAGTGTGAAATTCGGGGGATCCAATCTTACCAGAATGAAGAATGGAGGAGACCCCAAGATTTGGTGGCAGATTTGGCGCAGGCAGGCACGACAAGTAAAACCCATGAAAAGGGGAAAAAAAAGGACACGTTCTGACTTCTCATCCGCACAATGGCGAGAGGGAGAGGTTTCCAGCAGCGAATGCCAGCCGTTGATATAGCAAAGGAACAAAAGATACTGCGAGGTGTTGGGTTAGACAAGCACGTGGTGCGATAAAGGAGGAGTAAATAGGACAAAATTTGGCTGCCAAAAAATTTGACTGAGGAGGATGCAGGAGGAGGAGGAGGGCTTTTCGTTTTTCCAGCAGTCCTGGATTGCTGTGTTTTTCGGAGAATAACACCAAAATTAAATGGGGGCGTAATCGCCAACAAGACAACAACAAAGGGCAAAAAGAAAAATGAAGCTGAAAAACACGGAGAAAATTTTTTTTTTTTTTAAAATTTAAAAAAAAAGGAAATAAAAAAAATACAGAGATCCATGCAAATTGCAAAGGCAACGACCACCAAACTCAAATGCCCAATTGCCGATGGGCTCTTTCAGTTTCATGCAAACAAACAAAACTTTCCAATCATCTCTCCTGCCCGGATCCTATCATGTTGCGTCTATTCATCATTCTTGTTATTGACCGAACTGGCGGCCACAAACTGATCAGCAAACTTTAGTTGAAAACATTTAATTTGATTAGCCTGAGGCTTGAGAGCCTGACCACCAAGGCAGGCGTTAGACAGATTCATGATCATAGGACCTCTATCTTCTCTCTATTAGTTTTTCTCCCTCCCTGCATCCCTCTCTCAGCAAGCAAGTAATGTGGTGCAAATAATTAACAGTACGTAGTACTGAGCGAGTAAATTATGGATCCTGAAGAACCAGGAAATGGTTTCTCAAGCAGGACCATTCCTCTCCTGGTTAGCAGCACTAGCAGTAGCAGCAGCAGCAATCACACCAGGGATCCCATTATTATCCACTCCCTTTCAACGTCGGGCAATACCTCTTTTTATAAAACTTGTTTCAACGGCCTCAACGCTTTATCAGGTCAGGTTCTTCTTCATCTTCCTTCCAGTCCTCTTCTGTTTATTTACTTCTTACTGCATCATCCAATCCTCCCTCTTCTCTCCTCCTTGTAGTTTGATTTTATTTTCCCACTTAAGCCTTGTTTTTCAATTTTATTAAAGAATCCAACTTTGTTTCAGATTTGTTACGCTTACGCTCATGAAATTATTTATGGTCCGTAATGATGTGTGGAGTTCGCCTGGAAAACTTCCAGTGTGATGTTAAAAGCGGACGGTATATTCTGCTTACTCATATTTTTAGCAGATGCATGTCCATTATATATCCTTCACCATCCTGCTTTCAATCACACACTTCAGTCTTTTATCCTCAACCACTTATTTCTGAATTCCGTCTGCTATAATTTGTAACCCTATAACACCGTGCTCGGTTATGTGGAGTTATAATCTGAAATTTCAAAACGCAAAAACCATTTGTGTCAAAATTCAACGACGCTTGTATGTAAAATTCAGTGTCACGCCTTGCATGGTTTCGTTCTGGTGTGAATGACTTGCTTGTGAAATTTGTTACTTTACTCTCTTTCCTTCGTTTAAAGTAGTTGCAAGCTACTTTATTTCAGGAAATTATGTCATAGGCTGGTAATTTGGTTCCAAAGTTAAATCGCTAGGTAATTCGTGCTTGTTGTTCAGGAGTTGGAATACTCTCAGTACCATATGCCTTGTCATCAGGCGGATGGTTCAGCTTGATGCTACTGCTAGTTATTGCATCCTCTGCTCTTTATACTGGCTTGCTTATCCAGAGATGCATGGATATGGATCCAAGCATAAGGAGCTACCCCGATATCGGTGAGCGCGCATTTGGGGCAAAAGGAAGAGCACTTGTATCCATTGTAATGAATACTGAACTCTATATGGTGGCAACCGGTTTCTTGATTCTTGAAGGAGATAATTTATACAACTTGCTCCCTGATGTCAATTTCGAAATTGGGGGTCTTAAAATCGGAGGAAGAGAGAGCTTTGTTATCATGGTTGGCCTTATAATACTGCCTACTGTTTGGTTGAACAACATGAGCATCCTTTCTTATATTTCTGCCAGCGGAGTTGTAGCTTCTCTCCTACTTCTTTGTTCAATCTTCTGGGCTGGGGAGTTTGATGGCATTGGATTTCATCACAAGGGAGTTCTAATAAATTGGAGCGGAATTCCAACTGCTGCGAGCCTTTATTCCTTCTGTTACTGCGCTCATCCAGTTTTTCCCACCTTGTACACTTCCATGAGAGATCAGAGACAATTTTCCAAGGTTATGCGATATCATATTCAACCTAATTTCCTGTGCAAGTCATTCAACACCTGCTGAGTTACTAGCTCAACTTCTGTTGCAGGTTCTGGGAATATGCTTTCTTGTATGCACTATTTCGTATGCATTGGTGGCAATTGTGGGTTACCTGATGTTCGGTTCAGAACTCATGTCTCAAATAACATTGAACCTTCCAATCGACAAGATTAGCTCGAGAGTGGCAATATACACCACATTGGTCAATCCCATAGCCAAATATGCTCTGATGGTAATACCAATTGTGAATGCCATTGAGACTAGGCTGCCGTTAAATTGTCATAAGAGGTCATATAGCCTCTTCGTCCGAACCAGCCTGGTCCTTAGCACTGTTATTGTGTCCCTGGCCATACCGCTTTTTGGGTATCTCATGTCACTTGTTGGAGCATTTCTGAGCGTCACAGCCTCCGCCATACTTCCTTGCCTGTGCTTCTTGAAGATTTCTGGCATTTACCAGACATTAGGTCTTGAGCAGCTGGTAATGGTCGGCATTGTCTTGATGGGCATTTCTATTATGATAGTTGGAACCTATACATCTGTGATGGAAATTGTAATGCATTTTGTAACGTGACTTTTACCCATTCAAGGTAATTCCCTGATTCACTGGCACGGATGTTAATATTTTTTGTGCTCAGTTGTAATGATTGGAAAAATGATTACAAAAATTGAAAAGGTGCAGGCCAGGGGGCGTGATGCTGTGTGGATGTTTGTGGTTACATAAGCAGAGAGGAGAGTTAGCACAAACTCTTGATGTTGACGAACCATAGAGGATGGGCATCTCTTACATTCCACCTGTGGCCCAGGCCCAATTTGAGTGGCAGCCCAGAATCTTCTAAGGGTGGGTGATGATAGTAAATCTTTTTCACTCACGCCAAGAAGAGTAGCCAGGGATAATCTTCTAGAAAAAGATCATAGAAAGGGGTTTTGATGGATCGAATATCCTAGAAAGGAGTCAAAAGGTCATTCGGCTTTTCAGAAATTCAGTGGTAGTACGATTCCTGAGAGGATCATTAGCTTCGCGCCCATGATTGCCCCATGCTGTTAATTGTGCAGAAAATTTGAAAGGAAAATGGAAACCGATGGTCCAATAATAAAAACACAACAGAGAGAGAGAGAGAGAATGAACATTTCTAAAGTTGCATAATTGATAGTCCCATTCAATACAGTAACTACTCATAGTTGTTGACTAGCACTAGCAGCAGTACTAGTAATTAGTGGATTTGTCTGGATTTCAAAATTTTTTTAAATAATTAATATTTTGTTTATATTAAAAATATTTTTTAAAAATATTTTTTTTATATATATCATATCATAAAAAATATTATAATATTTATTTTAAATAATACTTTATCCAAACAAATTCAGGATTTCACAGATCCAGCCTTAACTAGTAACTACTACTAATGGCACTAGTAAACTCCTAGTAACCATTTGGAGTTTTTTTTTTTTTTTTTTTTGTCAGTAACGATATATGTGTATAATCTATTCTATCCTAATCTAGGGGGAGGGGGAGTCTAAGGAGACTGTGATAGGAGGTTAGTGAATATACAGACCTAACTAGATCAAGAAAGCGCTATGACACAATTCTTAGGTTGTGTTTGGATTGCATTTTCCGTCATTTTTCATGGAAAAATTACTGTAGCGATTTGATATATGTGAGGGAAAAAGGTGATAGGGAAATGTGATCACGGAAAACGATAATATTTTCCGACGAAAACCTTCAATCCAAGCAAGGCCTTAGATTTTTTACGATCCCAGCTACAAAATTCCAAATCCATCCACACCGCCACGACTCTTGGGCGTTAATTAATCATGCTTTCGTCTCTCTTCATTTCATTTCCACCTCCATCTCACAACACTACTGACTACACCCACCCACGCTTCACTTTGGCGCCACAACTCACCAAGCTGACTGCCGCCCATAACACCCCGTCCCCCCCTCGGGATTCCGTTCATTTTTCATCCACTGGGTATGACTATTCTGTAGTTTTTCCTGCTCTGCTGCTCTCCTCACTTCCTTGAAATCTTAAACCCCCCTTCCCCAAAAAAAAAACTCTAATTTCTCACAGTCAAATCATCGAACGCCGTAATGGCGTCGTCGACAGCGTCCTTTCCCTTCGTGATTCACCCTGCTCTAGACAATTCAGTTATTCCCTACAGTGGAAATCATCGTCGACCCAAGTTGCCTTTGCTAGCATTTAGGCCGAGGAAGTTTACCAGCGATTCCAAATTTGGAAGTTGTGGGCTTTTGAATGAAGGTATTGCGAGCCTATCTTCATGCTGCGGCTCCACCATGACTAGGAAGTGGACGCTCCAGCGCTTTAACGCCACAGGTAGTGGCTCTGGGGAAGTTCAGAGTGGGGAAGAATCGGACGATGCTTTACAAGCCACAATTGAGAAGAGCAAGAGAGTTCTGGCTATGCAGAAAGACCTACTTAATCAGGTTCGTTACAACCATCTGAGCGTTTTGCCCAAAAATTTTGATTTTGAGTTTTTTCCCCCCTTTATGAAATGTAATTTTTTTCCGGGGTAGGTAATATGAAATGTAGGCTTTTTTAAAAATAAATAAATAAATAAATGTAGTTGAGGACAACGCTTAATTGTAAAATTCCTCGACCGTTTCGTGGATGACCTATTACTGATTTGAAGAACCATCTGACTTGTACCTCGAAGGCAATTCGATTCTGTGTTGGCTTGTATGCAAGTGAAAATATGATCTTAAAAGGGAAAAGGGATTGGTGTTGCCGAATCATATGTCGAATGCCCCCCTATAGGTTGTTTGTAAGGATTAGAGTCTGTACTTTATTCTGTTCTGACTAGTCAATTTCGGCTGTTCGGTTTTTGATATGTGTGTTTGTATCAGCATTGCTTTCTCCTCGTTGATGACCATGACTTCATTTAAGCGACGAGATTGTGACCTTTCTCTTAGATAATCTACTTGGGCCTCCTGTACAGTAGTTGGCATCTATGTGCATTACTTTGGTTGCCCAGCTTCTTTTCGCTTGGAGTATGTAAGAACTTGGTATAATGGCTTGTTAACTATTTTGAACTATAATTAATTCCCTTGTATCTCTCAATTTCACTTCTTGATACTTCCTGTATTTAATGTCAGGCCCCCGATTCATTGATAGATGTTGTGATCTTCTGCTCATACTCATCATCTCAAGGCTTTATCATCAGATCGTTTGTGTAAATTCAGGTTGATGACATCATTTTATTTGGTTCTCTCTTGCAGATTGCGGAACGTAAAAAATTAGTTTCATCTATAAAAGATAGCATTATTGACCAGGAGAATGACAGCACCCTTTCAACTGTTAATGTTGCATCAGCCAATGGAACTGAAGAAGATGAGGTACTGACAACTGATGAGGTGAATGCACCTGGAAAGAACCTGCTGCGCACAGAAACTTCTTCAAGTGCAAGTTCCTTGGAGCAGTCCAAAGACACTAGCAAAGAGATTTTTCAGTCCTATAAAGATGCTTCTGCACATGTAAACAAGCAGTCTAGAAGTGCCACTTCTGCCGTAGGAACTTCCAGTTCAAAGATTTCCTTTGATGTAGATTCGGAAAACCAATTAGCGAGTATATCAACAGAGACAATTCCATCTGATCTGCCATCCTTTCTCTCAGAGACCAGTGCAAAGTTGCCTTTGGAAGATAAGCAACATGAAGATTTCGAAAAATCGAGTGCACAGGAGGTGAATGTTGATAAAGAAGATTCTGGGGGTGAAAAAGTAAAAGCCCCTCCATTGGCTGGCATCAATGTTATGAACATAATATTGGTTGCTTTAGAATGTGCACCATGGTCCAAAACAGGTAGTGTGATAACATTAAGTTTCTGGTGGAAAATATTTTATGGGGATTAACTTCTTCAGGTCTTAGGTTAAGCATGTTGCCATTTCCTTTTGATCTCCATTTAGTAGATATTAAACTTATTGACAATGTTTTATTAGTTTATGCTGAAATTATAGTGAACATATACTCCTACAAAAAGAATAGGCTGGAGTACTCAAATATGCACTTCTCCTTGACTGAAGGGTCTGTTCAAATGGATGTGCTTGACTGTTAGACATCTATTTCTCCAGTCAGTAGTTATTTCGAGGCTTGTCATGGAATAAAAACATTAGTTTTAGTAATCATGTTCAATGCAGTTTAATATATCCTCTTTCCTTTTAATTAAGATAGTGCCTTGAAGTTTGAGCTGAAACATATTCATTGCATATATCCATACTCAGTGGTGGGCGCTTGCATGTGTATGTCTGCATATAATGATAGACAGGTCTGTATATGATTGTGCCTTAGTTTTATACTTGTATTCTACTCAACATGAGAACTAATATGTCAAGAATTTACTTAGGTGGGCTTGGGGATGTTGCTGGAGCTTTACCCAAGGCTTTGGCTCGGCGAGGACATAGAGTTATGGTAAAGTTTCAGAAACTCTTTCCAAGACAAGATGGTCACATGGTGGAGTACCTGTTCAAAAGCAATTTGTAGCTGATGTCAGGATTTTATATTTTTGAACTTCTGAATAGCTCGCCAGTTTTATTTTCCTTTTTTTATTTTCCAGTGTTGCATATGGTCCTCATTTTGACGTGTATGCTGTCTATGTGGAATATTGCATTCTGTGTAAGAAATGAGAAATTTTCATTCTTCCATAAACTTGTCACTCTGCACTTCACGGTAATTGTAGTATGGTATGTAAGTTAGCGGACAGCGCAGAAATCCAGCAAGATTCTTGGTAGTTGAGTTGTACATATAAAATGAATCTTTTATTTTTTGGTGGATTTTATAGGTTGTTGCACCTCGGTATGGTGATTATGCTGGAGCTCAAGATACAGGGGTTCGGAAAAGGTATAAAGTAGATGGTCAGGTATGAAGTTGTACACCCTTATTGTATCTTAAGCAAAACATTTATGACATTAAAATTTCTGATACCTGGTTGCACATCATGCAGGATATGGAGGTGACGTACTTTCAAGCTTACATTGATAGTGTTGATTTTGTTTTCATTGACAGTCCTTCATTTCGACATATTGGAAATGACATATATGGGGGCAAACGTGTGGTAGGTTTTTATTTTTTTCTTAAACAAGTAAGCTTTGTATTGTTATTCTCTATCCAATGGTGGAAATACAGTCTTATGCCCTGATGGTATATCTTCTACAGGATGTGACTTTTCTCCCTGATTATCCTTTTCCTAGTGTTCTTCTGTGACCAGATGCTTGTGTGTTGCTGCTTCCCTTGCTTCAACATTGCATTTTCCTATTCTGCCTATTTGTGTATTTATGTAAAATATAGACGTGTATCAGAATCATAGATGTAAATGTTTGTGTTTCTTCATCATCAATTCTCTGATTCACAGATGTTAATTTTTTGTGCTGCTGGTTGTTCCAGGATGTTTTAAAGCGCATGGTTCTGTTTTGCAAAGCTGCTGTTGAGGTACAACATTATGAGGCATCATGGCCTGGCACTTCTTTTGGCCTTGCGTTCACAAGGCTACATATTTGTCAACCTTCATGAACTAAAACAGCAAGTCATGTTCAGTCATGCAATTGTACTCTTTATATCGATATCTTACTGATGAGAAGATTTACAAGCTGTCATTCATCAGTCAATGTTGGGGATGATAAGGGTTAGACTTTTTATGGAGGTGGCCGTCTGTCATGCAAGAATTGATAAAATTGTCTGGAATAAGCTTTGAGAAAGAAAAAAAATGCTTAGTCCTGTGGAATTCATGAAAAGAATGGCTGAAATGAAATAGACCTTGATTTTACTCATGATTATTTCTTCAATGTTCCTTGTTTCTATGTCCCTCGTATTCTTATATGTTATCTGGAGTACTGAAATGCTTTATTTATTTATTTATTTTTAGGTGCCTTGGCATGTTCCATGTGGTGGGGTCTGCTATGGAGATGGAAATTTGGTTTTTATAGCAAATGATTGGCATACAGCATTACTGCCCGTGTATTTGAAGGCACATTATCGTGATCACGGAATAATGAAATATGCCAGATGTGTTCTTGTGATTCATAACATAGCTCACCAGGTTTGTCCTGAGACTTATCATCCAACAGCATATAGGTATTGTCTCCAAATATAGTTGTCAAATGATCAGCCTTGGGAGTAGGTGAAAGTGTGATTTGAAAAGTCATATATGATATAGGTGCTTG